CAGATAAAAACACACCTCAATTAGTCCACCTCAGCTGGGGAGCCACATCAAGCGAGGCAGACGCTTGCAGCTGACCCACGCCATAACTTCACTTACAGCCTCTCCAACGTGTCCAGACTGAGGGCGAACGATTACATTTTAGAAGAATCGTATTGCTTTAATGTTTTACACAATTAAACCCCAACATGTTCAGTCTGCGTCTTGCAGTTAAAGTTGGAAAATGGTATACAGTATGTATGGCAAAGACCCTCAGGTAGAGAAATGTAGCCTTGGTACACAATGCACCATCAGCATGTTGCACTGATATGCAGTCAGCAAAGGACTTTCCAAGAAGCCTTACTAGAGTTTTACTGTCGCATTCGCTTAAATAAATAATATGAATACAAAAGCCTCATTAGAAAATAGATATATACAAGGTACACTTACCATGGCATGTAGAGTAAATCACATTAGGGCTGCCACTAACAGTCATTTACATTATTTCTTCTATTGTCAATCGCTGTCAGAAAAAGACGAGAACATTTTCGAATCACAACTTCCAAAGCTCTGGATGACATCTTGTTTTGTATAACCGAAAGTCAGAATCTTCAGTTTACTAAGATATTCAATAAAGACAAGCAGCAAAGGTTGCATTTCAGAAGCTAAAAAGTATAGCATTTTCTCACTTTTATTTGCTTGGATTTTTTTTGAAATGATTGAGCACCTAATCAGTTATTCGACTAATCCCTTCATGTTAACATTAAACAGTGTATTTGGGAGTTCTTGTCTTCATTTGCTAAGCCCCAACCAGCTTTTTAAATCAGATCTCCCTCCCTTTCATCCAAGTAAGCGCTCGTGGCTCACACCACCTATAAACCACTCACACAGCAATCCACTCACGATTAATGAAGTGCTTACTTAACCAATTTAAACCCTTAATTCCTATTAGTTCAACATAATAGCCACCCTCTCTGCCAGAATTAACAACACTCTAGCAGAAACGTACAAATCTCTGCGGGCCAGAAACAGCCGACCCAGCAGATTCCATATTGCCTGATAAATATGTAACAGTATGTATATCACTGTTAAAATGCATAACCCTCGTGTAAGACCCCTATCAAGTCTGCTTTACACCTGTATTACATTTCTCCCTCAATCAGCAGCTTTTCTGAGACACCGGCCTCCCACGAGGAGCAGAAACCATTACAAGGGACCGCAGCTCATTTGCAGAAAGATTGGAGATCACGCTGCATCAAAAAAGTATGTGAAGCATTTCTGAGAGCAAAATTGATTTATTCCATTTCTATGTTTGTATGCAGCATCAGTATCGATGTATTTAATATAAATCCCCAGTCTGGCATTGAGTTGCTGTGGAGGTTGCTGCTTATTGTGCAAGTAAGAAGCTGCACCATCAAATAACACAAGGGGCCTGTTCTGGTGCAAAATTGAAGTCCATGCAGTATTCTTTAAATAAGATATTTTATCTTGAACTAAATGATCAAACATATATGCAATGTGACAAATTATATCAATCAAACAGAAGCATACATCATGCCCTTTTTCTGATCCACTGCTGCCGCTTGTTTAAGCTACAAAGACATTAGGCTGTTCTTTGGTGAAATAAAAAGGCATGAGCAAATAAATAAATATTTCTGTATATTTCAATTTTGACTTAGGAAAAACAGATCATGCAGAGCCCGTGGCTAGAGGAGCCTGACTGCATGCTGGTGGGGGGTAAAAGACAGCCTGGGGGATGTGGAGGGCGTCTGTTTTTTAATGAGCTGAAACTTTAAATACTGCATAATATATAATAAAAATGAATAGTTCATTTAACTCTCCGGATAAGTCGTGGAAAAACTATTAAAATCCATTATTCTCTTAATGTCAACAGAGTAAGCATTGAGTATGAATGAAGTGAACATGATGACACATCAACAAGAAAGAAAAAACAAAATAATAATCAACTTGAACTGGAAGAAATAAACGACATTTGGGCATAAAGTTAAGTGCACGAGCTTAAGGGCATCAACTAAACACAGTAAAAGCAATGACAATGACATATTAAACTATAAAAATGTAGATCCACTCCCAGAATAACAAATTACCATGTTTATTATGCTTTAAATGTGAAGAAGAATGGAAGGAACATTTGTAAAATTGTCCAGATTTTTTATTTACTGCAACTTAGTCCTAATGTCAGCTGGGGGTGGTGAATAGATGAGTGACAGACATTTCAGCCACCCACTGACAGCAGCCTGGGCAACACCGATTGGCACAGCAGGAGCAGCGTTTCAACCCTTCCCCCAACACACACACTCATATACAACATGTCATAAAGATAAAGAAGAGAGTGGGGATGAAAAGAAAAAGAATTATGGTGCCCCTTGGGTAAAGAAATACACCATAATAGATTTTTAACTGCTGCAGTACGCTATCCCTCCTCAAAAAGGTGAGGTAGTGGTTCAAGTGTCAATGACAAAAGGTCAGCAATTATACTGAAAAAGTGTTTCTACAAATAACAAAATTGTACGCATCTCACTCACGCTTTTAAGTACTACCATTTCAAAGCTTTGCATATGTCTACAACTGGAGATGTTTCTAGTAGATTTGAAATGAGGTTTATGTTTCCTTTGTCATATTGTAATTATGAAGTGCCATTTCACAGTGAATATTGTGACAATGTTGGCTGACACATCTGTATTGAGATGTAATTCCAAGTGTGATCCTCAAAGTGATCTGAGTGATGGCTCTGGTACCCTGCTGCTCGTGGAGCAAGCGAGAGGCGGTGCTGGTGGCCGATCCAGAGGCGTAGTAATGATAACCTTGCCACTGTTAGCTGCAGGGGTTGTTCACACAATAATTGTTTCTGCCAAGCCATATATCTATATGACAGAGAGAAAACTGCTGTGACTCCCCTACTAAATAATTTATTTCAAGAATTGGCTGCATAAACTATTTCCAGATGAAAATGGTTTGTGCTATTTATTTTTGCACTAAAGAATCTGAGAAGTTATTGGCTAATTAGAGGATAATTACAAGTGTCTGCAAGTTGATTAGCAATTTCACTGTTGAACATTAACAATTTACAGCAACACTACACTCCATTTCGGCACTTGTTTTGCTTTACTTACCTAAATTCTAAACAGTACAAGTATTTAAAGATTTCACCTTGACAAAACTTATTACCAGCATCAGTATGCAATTAAACTTGCCAAACAGGCATTCATTCTGAGTTCATTACCACAAAAGACATGTGTTGGTTAATTTAGACACTTCAATACAGGACTAGACTACCTCGGCTATTAAAAGGCATCAATCTCCCACCAAATGCTGATATATTTTGTTAATTTACAGCATCTCATTTGCAGTCTAGATACTTTAGACCTGCTCTGGTGGTGACTGAGGTTCGATGTGAAACGCTAAGCCTGTGGGCTGCCCTCCTGCAGTTTAGAGTGACTCAAAGGTGAAGCCCTGAAAACAAATACAATGTACTCCACAGTTTAAATTTCAGCAACTCACATCATCCTGTAATAGCCGCACACAAAGCTGCAGTCAGATGCAAACCGTGTGCAATTGTGTCTGCCTGTACGGCGGTATCAATGCAGCGCCTGGGTCAAAGGGTCAATGAGTAATTAAGACATGGTTGCCTGAGCATTCCCCATGCACACTTTCAGTCCTGATGAAAGGTACGAGATGAAAGGAGGGGGATTTAAGTGCAGCCTGATACTACAGATCAGATTTCTATAAGTGTGTCTAAATGTTCGTTGTTCAAGGCAATTAGTATGATTAAGAGATAGTGTGGCGTCATCACGCTGTTTAAAGAGGATTTGGCCCATGAATTCTGCACGAGGTTTAGACATCTCTTACACAACAGAGGTTACGATGCTTAGAATAAAATAAACATGCAAATTACTATACATTCAGGGACCCTAAATATCTCTTTAATATCTAATTTAGTAATTAGTGTGATGGCTTCAGCAAAATAAATAAACATTTTCTTTTGGTATAAAATATGTGTTAGTAGTGCTAATTATATCTTAAGACCACAATGAAGGAACAATAAAGAAAATAATGATAGAATTAAATGAACCTGTTCAATGTCCATGCACAGGACGGGCAACTTTTACCAAGCAGGACAATCATGAAGCGGCGATACATCACAAACAGCATGTAGGCATTCAAGTGAAAAGAAGGTCAAAAGGTGCATTGATTTACATGTACAACAAGAAATTAATCGTTTGGTTTCATTGTTGCTAAAAATGAAGAGGCCAAGGCCAGAAAATTGAGGTCGCTGATAAATGCTATTAGTAGGAGATGCTGAGGAGTGAAGAAATCAATATGGCAGTTTGTCAACCTGCCTCTCAGAGGGAGCAGGGCTCTGCAGCAGAGGGGAGGGTGCCCTGTCAGCAAAGCACATTACCAGAAATCAAAGGCCAGGGAAGGCCCGGAGGAAGGGATGTAGATGTGTCTGTACAAAGGCCACACTTTGGTAATTAAAACCTATTTTATCAGACCTGTCTTGTCACTAGTTTTTCTCTAACACTATTGACAATCTGTTGCATGCAGAGTGATCACTAATTTACCTTTAAATAAATGAGCCAGGGTTATTTAGATTCCTAAATTTGTCACACAAAATGAAGCAACAGTGTCAAATAAATAACACCACCTGGTATCGCTTATATGAATTATTAATACTTTTAATCTTGAAGATAGTGTCTCCATAAAAAAAGAAGAAGATTCATCTAGGGAAGCTGGCTGACCCTTATACAGTAGGCATGTGTAAAAGTCATGTTGCCTAAAAAAAAAAAATTATATTCAAAGTAATGTTGTATAATTTAATAATTCTTGCAAAAATACACTTTCACGCAGCGTTCACAACATCCCTGTGAAAACATACAGGAAAAGAAGTCTAAAAATCCTAAACCATTCAACTTTAATGGAAAGCTAGCTTTCCGTTCACACACTGTCAGTATTGTATGTCAGTGTAATAACTGACTATGCAACTTTTAAATATTAAATAATTAAACACAAATGAACCTGTGCAGTCAGACAATAGATGCATGAGTCATACAATACAGCACTTTTGTTTACATAGGTCCAGCAGAACATCATGGGGAAATGTAAATACAGCAGCTTGGCAGACAAGAGTCTCTTAAAACACACTTAAATAAGTATTTTGTTTAGAACGGTGCGCCTTCATCTTCTTTGTAGGCGAAATAGACTGTGACGGGTCCAACACTCGTTTGCACTGTTTCTGCAGCTCCCACCACCATCCAGCAGCCGATGCCATAGGCCAAACAAGGGATGCCTGCAAATAATGAACCCATTGATTAGTTAATATTCGAAGTGTTTGAAAATGAAATATTATATGTATTTTGTGGGAATAAGGTAGAGGATTAAAGAAGTTCACTGACCTAGGTTAAGAACTTTCAAAATGGTAAAAAACTTGTCTTCATAGTCCAAGTTTTGATGAGGTGCTTTGGAGCAGTGATACTTTATAAAGGGGAAGCAGCCTGTCCTCAGTATCTGGTAGTTGGATCCTTGGACTCTAAAGTTAAAGTTGGACAGTCCGAACTGGTCATTATGCACGGAGCTGTAGCGGACACAGTATGAGGTCCAGGGCGGGAGTTTGCGCTGCAGCAGGTGGCAGGTCAGCACCTCTGAGGCTGCGGGCCGCGGGCCTGTCCTGCCCAAAGTGCTCGGAAACAGGGCGAGCTTTATAAAGACACCGTGGACCTTCCTCAAAAACTCCCTCATGACTTTAACTGAGAGGAGAATGATTCACCTTTTTCTGCTGTTCGTGTTTTTAACTGGGCTGCCTGCTAACAAGCTAGACAGAGCTCAGACTAGCTTTTAAATGTACAGACCTAAGCTCATGTACCACAGAACAACTTCTACACGTCCTTCAAAGCAGTGGGACCATGAGTGGGACGCTGCATAGTGTGCACACAGGACAACCAACGTCAGCTAAAGTTAGCAAAACAACACGGTGCTAGCTAAACACGTGTTTCTGCTGCAGATATTCCGTTACACACACGTCCCGATACACATGCTTAACATATATTAGACTTTATCTTAACCAGCAGAGGCCTGTTTGTGTGTGCAGAGCAGCTCTGTGCGCTCAGTGCTGTGTATTTGCTCTGACCTGGTGCTCCTGCTAAAGTCCTCCGGTTGGAAACGCAGCGCTGCTAAGCTGTTCCTCTTCTACAGCATTAGCTGCTACAACCTGTATTTTACTGATGCGCTCACCTGTTCAGCGGGTATGAGTCTTGTGTCATGTGACCGTTCAGCTTGCACTATACTCACACCACTCTATGCAACAACAAACGTGAAAAAAAATTAGCTTCAAGGTTTTATTTGTAAGACATGATACACACGTGTGTGAAGTCAGCCTAATGAATGACATACTATGACTAATAACTAGTAATATTCTTTTTTTTACACATTGTTAGTAGCTTTCTGTAATCTTTACAGATCTAACAGATTTATGCAGATAAGTATTTGCTTGCTATCCTTACTATTGATTCAAATAAACCTTTGCAACTTTTATAACTGATCCCAGTAGCAATGAAAGATTTGTTGGTGCCTGATCATCAAGAATGTTGTCATTTAAGTACACATTAGATCCACTCGAATACACTGAAGCCTTTCCTGAAATATTTCAAAGAACATTGAACAGTCTGCTGTAATTCATAACCATGGATGTTATTCCACAAACCACAGCTAAACCAACATTTCTCCATATCAACCAGAATTAATGAATACATTGAAGAAATAGCACACATGTTCAAGCCAATTTGCATACAAGATATTGTACATGTTTTCATTCAAATATATACATTGGTTTGATGATGATGTTTAAATCTTTGAAACCAATCTACAGAACATGAAGATAAGTTTAGTAGTTGTGCAGAAAATTGTGTGCTTGTTCTCAAATTCTTGAATGAACCATACTTTAAACCCCAGTTTCCTGCATGTCTTTAAAGCTGCCATTTTCCAATAGTGAATTATATGTAGGCAGTTAAAACAGATGATAAAACTAAATAATAAAATATGATAAAGGTTCATGGCAAAATCTGACAATGTTTCAGGGATTTATTTAGCTATCAACAATGATCTCCATCTTCGGTGAATCATGTATTCAAAGTATAATAGTACATTAAAGCTGGCAAAGACAAGAAGACTTAACTTGGTATGAGTAATGTTAGTATATTGGTGAAGCAGGTTTATCCTCCACTGCTCGCATCTTGTTCTGAACAGTCATCTGCCGTACGTCTTCTACTTCCTTGATCAGATACTAAAAAAACAAACCAAAATTAAACAAGTTAAATGACTGCCATCCAGCTGACGAGAGCTTGACTTAAAGATGAACGTTTCATGATGTATATGAGGAGGGATCGTTAAGTCATTAACACGGTACCTTAAAATTGGTTTCTCCTTGCATGTTAGAGGGTGATATCTCCTGATGAATGACTGACAGATTCCGAGCAAAGGTCACCAGAGCTCCCTGGAGATCTTCTGAGACGGCTCTGTTAACGACGACCCAAACAAACGAGTTTACTAATGTCCCCCATGCTGCCAGCTAAGAAACAATCACCTTGCTCATGTGATGGTGCTGGTAAATGAAACTTTCAGCAGACAACATCTTCAGTCTTCGGGGGGATGAGCACAGCTTGATTTAACTGTTACAGCACTGTGCAGGCTAAAGGATTTGAGTGATAAATATGTTAAATAACCCTCTGCCTAACAACTTCTAGAGTTTGTAACAGCATTTACAAAGCCAGAGGTGGCATGTTAATCCTCTAAACAAATTGTCTTTTCTCTCAGTCTGTAGAGGTCTTTTATCCACCTAATCCTCTACTGTTTATTTGCTTGTCTATTAAACAGAGAGTGCAAACAAACCCTAATGTGTTCAGAATTCTTCCTACTGCTTTTTTACCCTGAATGTCATGAATACTGTAATAATGTTTATGCATTTGATGCAAAAACAAATACTCACATCATTCCCATCCTGCATCTCTCACTGCCGTCGTAAACAGCAAAAATGGTGCCTTGCTTCCTCTGAAATTTTAGAGCCAAAAACACACAGCCAAAAAAGAGCTCCATCAACACCAGTGTAAATAAAAAAATACTCTGAGCCAGCATTACTCTCTTATACAACTGCCAGACTTGTGATGTTCAGTTAAAGATCAAAATCAATTTGATTAAATCTTTTTTATTTCATACATTCTGCTTCCTTGCCACAACCTGGCCTGTGCATTTCCCACAATGCAACTGGATTGCAGTTTGATCAAAGATGGGGGTGTGTTATTTAGCCTCAACCTGCTAGCCTCTAGAGCAGATGAGAAGTGGAGATAAGAGGTTTCATAATTACATTTCTGTCTGGCTTCACGCACCCATAGGTATGTTTTTTATTTTCAAACCCAACCAACACTGACTCAAGTCACATCACTCATTTCAACTTATCAGACTTTGTGAACCTCCCTCTGGAGCAACAAAAGGCTTTACACATCTTTTTGGTAAGCAAACTTGGATTTATAAAGTCTATAGAGTTTCACTTTAAAGGTGGGGTAGGTAAGTTTGAGAAACCGGCTCGAGATACACTTTTTGTTATATTCCATGGAATGCTCTTAACATCCCGATAGCAATGAATATCTTAAGTGCTTTGACAAAAAATCCATAAAAAAATGTCATCTGTGGAAGCCGTAGTACTGTAAAAAGCACGACCAATCATCTGAGCCGGCCTGGCTAAAATAACTGGATGGCCTACCTGCCTGTCAGCCTTCCATCTGTGCACAAACTTATCTCGTGCCGTCATTGGTCATGTGCGCGTTCGTGTGTGTTGGAGGAGGGGCTCTATAAGGAAGTGGCAGAATTTTTCCGGCTGTGTATTTTCAAATTCTAGCGCACTCGTGCTGGTTTCTCCAAAATTACCTACCCCACCTTTAAATCCATTTTACGCTAAGCTGCAAAATGAAAACAAAAATTAAGATAATATAAAGGCAAGCAGATACATTTGGGGATTTTACCTTCATGTTAAATCCTATACCATGAGCCTTGCACACCATAAGGAACACATTATGGTATAACATGGAAAGGTTTGAGTGAAACAAGTGGCTCCCAATAACTGCATAACGAGGAACCACAGGAGGCTGTAACAAAAGAAAAATAAGAAACAAGAAATTATATAGAATATGATGGTTAGCATACGGCTCTGTATAAATCTAAAATGAGACAATACCTTTATGTCCTATTACATTTGGATTTAAAGTATAATAGGTGGTGTATGTAAGCGAAGTAGCGATGGCTGAACCCCATACACATGTCCTTAGGGTCACTGTTGAGTTTGGGGAGTGTGTGTGATTAGTAAACATGATGAGTGTGGGGCACATGTGGTAAACTGTTGGGCCTTTCTTAATTAACTGCGGGGAGCAACAATTAATGTTTAGAAGACATGCCAAGTACAAGATGAGCTTAATTGTACGATGCCAATCAAAGAAACCACAGTTTGAGGAGTGCAAATGTTTGCATTCTGTTTGAGACAAAAGCACTGGCCAATGCACAAAAGGACAACTCGCCGCACACGATACATATCACGATAACAGAGCGGTTCTGAGCATGCGAGTGTCATAAGTAACACTAGAGAGGTTGATTACTTAAAAGTGGCAGGGCTCAAGAGGATAAAAATGGTCCTGGTTCTCAGGCACCTCTGGGAGACAAAAGAGCAGGCCTAAGCCCCTGTGAGCCGAGGAGATCGCCCATAACTCGCCGTGCTGGGTGTGTGTTAGCGGTTGTCAAACATAGGACCCTCACACAAACAATAAAAGTGCCCAACAGGGATTTAATTGTGTTTGTAATATGCAGGGTGCTAATGATGGCCACTGCTAAAGCCATTAACCACTGCTGTGGCTCAACTGCTGCACCGAAGCACCAGGCCACCCACTAAATGAACGCTTGATAAAATAATACAAGTCGCAGATTAACAAGCGTAAACTGAGGCATACTGCTAATAAAAGAACTCTATTGTTTAAGGCCTGGCACCAGGTTGATGAGGTGTTCAAGCATGCATACACATGCATAATGAAAATGGTATGAATTATTAATGTGTTGATTATTTAGGCTCATCTATCAAAATGATAATGAATTCAGCACCTAAACACCAATTGAGCTCAGTGCGTAATTACAGTATTTAGTTGTATTTAACAAAATGAGGAGCAAAACATTGATCTATCTTTGTGATTACTGTAGTCATATAATAATATCCTCTAAAGTCTCTGCTTGCTTAGAGCTGGTTTCTTCTAGAGGACTAAAATTAACAACAAAATTAGCCACTGTAGGAAAATACAACTTCAAATATAGCATTTTAAATCGACCTTTTGTTTAAGAAAAAATGAAATATTTCAAATATGATTAACTGTACGGTAAGCAAATATAAAATGGTACTTTGGCTGCCGTCTTGTGTTCGCAGCCTTTCTCTCTGTATGGCATTGGCACTTCTAAGCAGCCTGTGTGGAAATTCAGCATTCCTCCAGTCATCATCAGAAGCATCTGGGTCATGGCCAGATTGTCACTGTATGTGAGGTCCAGATCAATAGCCCACACCTGCACACAAGACATTGTGAACTATGTGTCACAGCAGAGAAAAACACACACTATAAACGTACATTTCAATTTAATCACAAAAATGGAACATCAAAGTATTTCACCCACAAATCCTTATAAAGAGAGGGGTCAGTACCTTTTAATCCTTACGTGTAGGCAGGGGAAAGGAAAACACGGTTAATGGTGTGTGCTCGACAGATTTGGGTAATTCAGTTGTGGAATGACACGTGCACAAAGTAGATCCTTTGCTGCGTTTTGTGTTCAGCTTGCCTTGGGCTAGTTAGTTTGGCACAGGTCTGATGAGCTAAGCTAAGTTCAGATATGTATAGTAAATGGCATCATTATAAGTATATTAAGGGGTCAGGTATGGTCGTAGCCTTCCGCTTAAACAGGGCTAATTTTCCCAATAATAACCTAATAGCTATGTCCTCTCTTCAAAAGTGGCAAATAAATCACTGGTGAAGGAGTTGTTAATAACTAAGTGGCAGTCGGCTGCCTCCTTTTGCTGTTCCTATTTGTCAAAGTAAACGCTCCTGCCACTGAATGCAAATCGCTGCCTGTCTGAACCGCGCAGTCTCTGTAACCTGAGCACTATATCTCCACTAACACATGGATATCAGACCATATACAGTAATTCTCTTATAAGCCGGATTTCTTTTTTTTCTATTCAAATACATTGTGAAACAAAGGTCATAGCATATGGCTGAAATTGACACATTTTTGTATCTAATAATCTGACCGTTTTTTCAATGAAGTGAGAAAATAGTTAAACATTCTGAGCCCATTTTCTGAGGTGACCTTTAAAAACCTAAAGATCTGCAGTTTTAAATTCCAATAGACAAAGAAAATCTTTACATTCCAGAAGCTAGAATCAGAATTTTTGCATTTTTGTTTGAAAAATAGGGAAATGATCAATCAATAAATGAGACCTTTAGAATAAATAAATAGTTTCAAACCTATAATAAATGTGTTCATTTTCAAAAGTGTGTCATACATAAAAATACTACTTATACCAATAAATCATATTAAGGTATAGCCCAAATGATGTGATCAAATATTAATGACAAAAATGTTTTCTATTATGTTAGAATAATTTATGTAATGTGAACTATAATGTTGTTGCGTTACATAGCCATTGCTTATGATTTGTAAGGCACAGATTTGTTGTGATTTGAGCCTTTGACTATTCTAAAAATGCATTCAAGGCAAAAACAATGAAGAGATTATACAGTATATGCAGAAGGTGTTATAAACAACACACAATAAAACGACTGCAAACTGTGAACATTCATGTTTAGCAAAGGTAAGCTGTACGTTTTGCACTCAGCCCTCTTTACTGTCAGCAGCAGTGGACAGTGCTGGTCTCTAAGCATCAGGTTGATACCTGGGCCTGAGTGACGGACACACTCCACCGCACCATTCACTCAACTCACTAAAAATCATACTCCGATGTCTCATTGTCGCTCTTAACAAAGCCGTGGGAAATGTAAGCCTGGATTGTACCTGTTTTCTATTGCCTTGCATTTTCATTAAAAACCCTGATGCTGCAGCTGGGGCCCCGCCGCTCCACAATGTGAGGAGAGACTGCAAGGGCAAACATATGTGACCCACTTCTTCCCATCAAATAAAGTAGGCAGCTTTTAGCAACAGGTTTGAATCTAAATTGATGTTTAAATCCAGACAGGTTTGCCCATGTGGCTCTGCTCTGTCTGTGTGTGGGGAGATGGTTAAGAATCGGTCTTCAATGTTCCTGCTCTATTGAAGCACATGCTGTTTATAGTCTGTTCTTAATTATGCTGTCAGAGAATCCCATTCAATTTTGGGTCAACGTTGAAACTGAAAATGAATTTTAATGCTGTCATTATCACAATCAAAAAAAAATCAGCTTCGGATCCTAATACACATTTGAGAATTGCACATTTCCTTATTTGAGTGAAACAAAAATTGCAATTTAGTGACATAATGACCTTTTGAAAAATATGGTTGTATATATTAATCCACTCGCCCCCCCCCCCCAGCACCCTATAATAGGGTGAGATATGTTTATTCTTACCTTAAAATACTTACAGTGTGATAAAATCCACTATCCATAAAAACACAAAAAATGTTTCTGTTCCAAAAACGTAAAGAACAAATAATATTGATGCAATAAAATGTATAATTTTAAAGTTTTAAGATTAAAATAGCATTGTCTGAACACGCTTTTGCTCACACCGTTTGGTTTAACATCGGATCCATAAGAGACTACCCTCTAGTGGCAAGCATGCCCTAAATAGCATCATCTTCAAATATATTTTTTATATATGGGAAGACATTATGAATGCTAACAGTGAAGAAAAAAAACATGAATAGATTTGTTGAAATGTCCTTCAAAGAGGAGTGTATTTGTATCAAAGAAGAAATATATATAAAACACATTCAGTGTCTATTTTTATACCCTTTTGAAAACCCTTAAGTAGCTCTAGTGCCTTCTCCACCGTTTTTTCTGGTTTAGTATTTTATAAACCATATTATAAACAAAGCATTTCATTTCACAGCTCTGGATCAATAAGCAGTCAATGTAGCCACATGTTAGGAGCAGAGGTTAAACCATCATAAACCAGCCCATTTCCAATACCATAAATCAAGAAGGTTTCAACAAAACTTAATCCTGACAAATGAGATGAGGCTTCGCTGGTGCCTCGCTATAATAACAAGACACATTTCAGCAGAGCGCGGCAGGTAAGCAGCGAGGGGTTAAACACTGACAGGGCATCCCTGTGAAGCTGCCAAATCACTTTAGAATGACCTATTGTCTGAAAGATAGGTGCCTCTGAATTTCTCCACACTGTGAGGTTAAAGGGCAAGTCTTAAATGGTAGAATCAGTGTATCGACACGATAAGACCTGACAGTTTATTAGATGGCCCTGTGACACATTTGGTCCCTGCGCCCACTGTTTGCCTTTCCTGTTTTCAGAACCCCATGGGAGCAGTAGGGGAGACACCTATCTGCTCAAATGGATCCCCAATCCAGCCTAAACATTTATCTGTCTCACCAATATGTTGAAATGGAAAGCTTTGACACCATATGCTGCAACAGCCCAGACCATATTTACCGTGGTAGCATGAGCCTGCGTCTCACCTTTTGCTCCACGGTGTTGGGGTTCAGAAAGGTAGCCAGGTCCACGGAGACATACCCTACGATAAGGTGCTGCAGACAGGCCTGGCCCACACGCATGCAGATGGATTGCAAGGTCTGCGGCTGTACAGAAGTCTGAGGGACAGTGGAGCCTATAGCTTCCAGCTGACAGGCGCCGTGAAGCTGGTCTCCGCAGGACAGCATGGTCACCCCCCCCCCCGGGCTTCAGCAGCAGATCTACCGTCAGACAGGTAACACAGTCTGAGGGGGGGTAGGCCTCCACCACACCGCCTGGACACACAGCGACAGCAGAGAAAAATAAAACGTTACCAATCATGCAGCAGCTGTTTAACAACCAACAGCAGCAGCATGAACATTATTAAGCTTGTCAGGTCACATAGGTAACATCTGGGAACTAGGAAGGACATAGGAAATTACTATTAACCTATTCAAAATAGTTGTATGTGGAGGTAAAAAGCATTCAGTGCCTTACAATAGGTATCTGACCTTGCCTGAGGAAGGTCTCCAGGAAGCAGGCCCAGGTGGAATAGCAGGAGGTTTTAACAGGCTGGGCGTAACGGGAAAGCCACTCTGGGATTTCATCTAAATATCGAGGCAGCACAGACTCCTGCAGGAAGAAAGTTAGGGTGCATACATTAGGGAAAATGCTTTGGGGACAGATCAGAGGACATTATGTATGTTTGTTATTCAAAACACAAGTCAATAACAAGTCCTGGATACTTTATTTGTCTCATTATCAAACTCTCTAGGTGTCGAGCACATTATTGGGAATACCCTTGTGTTATCCGGATGACTCCAGTGACTGCTTGTTATCCCCGAGACCTTTGGTGGCTGCTTCAATGTCTGTGAGAGTGTCTGATGGATACCCCGGGAAGGTCTACCTGTGAGTGACAGCCTATTATCAGAAGGCCTCGGGAGTCTAATGGCTTTAACTCACAGCCACAGAGACAGCACCTGCCCTCAATAACAACTCCCTCCACTGGGCAGCTGATGAATGCCTAAGCTAACCTCATCTATCTGGGGATCAATCAGGGCTTCACTGGGATCGATATTACTCTTGTTTCTGTAACTAGGAAATGCCATAATGGTTTCGCCACTTAATTATGCTGTTAATTTCTTACTTTTGTTTTGGATGTCCTCTAAAACAGTTGGGCGACTCAAGTACACGGTTACCTCTGACACGGCTGTAATAGAGTTAAAGTTACAACAACGACACCACTTAACCTTAAGCTATCATTTTATATCATCAGTTTATTGTGTTATAAATCTACAATGAAGGTGTGTATGAAGTGCCCAGAGTGTTATTTTAAATACAGGTTTCTGTATGTAACAATGTCTGTGTACATAATTTAGTCATACACAATAAAATATGTGAAGCCGGTCTGAGAGATGACTAAATTCTGAATGGATATAATGTCTTTGTTCTTTCATCGTTCTATCTGGAGCGTTACTTTGTTTTGAGTGTATGCTGTCGGGCTTCACTGGAGACAGGGCTGGAGATTATGCTGTTGATATTCCAGTCATGTAACAGCCATCATCATATTCAAGTACTGTAAGAGGCGAGGTCAAATGCTACACAGTGATTCCCCCTATACAAACCATAAAGCACACAATGGTGCGGCAAAAAGTGTAAGGGAACGGTTGTCATTTTCAACGGAAGAGCAAGCTCACCCCAGGACTTTGCCTATGCAGTTCACAGAAACAGCAGGACAGAGGGAAAAGACAGAGAGGTATTTTGCAATAAATTATTTGGACTTAAACTGCGTACAGTACCCTGTGATAGGATTCAGGCTTTGCTTGGTGTCCACATAAAGACAAGCAATCTGGTCATAAATCAAATAGATGTGGCGCTGCCTCTTTCTCTCTCTATTACATGTTTAAACTACTGAAAAGCGACACTAAGTCTCTGGAATAAAAAGTCATACATTCTTTATGAATATGAATTCTCTGTAGCACTGTCCCACCAAAGCTTTGACTTCAATATAAAGGCTATGACTAATTTGATGTGCAATAGTAAATGACATATATAGTGTTTTTCTTGTTACCACATTCCCCTCATCCCTGGTTGAGTTTAACATCTTAGTACAATGGCAGCTACATTCCCTCTGCTTGCACCAAAAGCACTTATTACCTCCAGTGACATGAAACTAAATTCAAAGCAAACATGAGCCACAGGAAATGTTTAAGCAACTTATTAAGGTTAATTCAGGTTAATGATGTTAAGGCAGATGATTATATATTTAAACTCCTCCATGCAATCGCAGACTGAACACTATTTAGACAGTAAACATCTGTAGAAAATGTCCCGGTACATCTACAATGGTAGTGATTATCAAATGACCCATTTCGTTGACAAACTTAACCTAAATAAGGTGTTGCTCAAGATCTGTTTGTACACAGCGTGACAAAAAGAAATACTCCATCTGTTGACGCTATTAGGTGTAATTTTTACCCTCTTGTGCCTAATGATCCTTATGCAAGCTGTGTGAGCGCTTTAGTGTGTGTGTGTGGGCCCCTTCAGGCGTTGCATGGGTGCAGATCTACATGTCTTTAACCTCTCTCTGTGTAAATGCTGAACGAGGCCTGGGGGCTTTCTGCAGGCTGGAACATTGTGCTGGAGGCTGTGGGCCTCACAATATTCAGAGGAACAAACACATCTCCTAAAGCTCAGTGTGGATGCAAACCCTCCTCCTTCCTGTTGTAGCCTTTAAGGCTTTCTTTTACATCGCCAGAAGGGATTGTTGGTATTATTCTGAAGGACCACATGGTATTCTTCTTCCTGCTGAGCCCTTCAGAACAAGCAATAATTACAAAAATATGCACGCAGTCTGTGTAGACTAAGGCCAAGTATAATTTGGATCTCCTCTCTATTTTATAGTGAATATAAAGGGTATTAGACATTAAACTGAATAGTACATACACTCCGAGCATCACTTATTATTTTATGTTTTTGGTAAACAATGATCTTGGTCTCATTTTTGGTAATTATGAATGCATTTTTAAAATGTTTCATTTGACCATTACTGTTGATAAATAATTCATTAAATGTACACAATTACATAAACATAGCTTCAGACATCTATTGCCTAAATGCTTGCAAATATTCAGTATCTATCTTATTCAATAGCTTTCATTGCTGTTGCAATTAGGTCTACTTCTTTTCTGTAAAGTGCTACGTTAATGAGTGTTATATCTCAAAATATATGTCCATCTACAGCTTCTGCTGTGAGGAGAGGATAGCGATAAAGATATCAAATATTCATATGTATCTATCTAATCAACAACGCTGTCTGTAATCTTTCAGCATATAGAGCCAAATTGCTTCCTTCAATATACACACTTAGAACAGCAGAAGGACGATGTTCTACATTTAAGGGGCAAACACATTTTATGGGAAAACAATGTCATGAGAAAAAAATCATGCAATGAGGAGCACAGGATGAGGGCTTTGCTTTGATTAAAAGAGCAAGGTGTAAAATAAAGGCCAGTTAAAGTGTTGTGTCCATATGGCCCAGAAGCCCCGAGGCAGTGGGCCTACACTGGGGGCCTCGGCACTCTTCCCTCTCCATGGGACCCCAGCTGGTGAAACAAACCCCATTTACTTTCCTGAGCTGCCTCAGCCACCATTATGGACCTTGGCTGTAGCTCAGCCACTCTCTGCCATAATTAACAGCACCAATGCAACAACAATTACAGCCTCGCTCCGCACATACACTATGAATCAAAGAAGGAGCTAATAGGAACAAAACAGAGTGAGCCATAAGACGCTTGAGATGACTGCTGTTCTTTCGGATGGAATAAAAAGTAAAATCGTTGTGCTTCAAGCCCACAATCATTAGCCTGTAATTAGTTTACACAAAGCTCCCAGTTAAATGGCAAAATACGGTAATTAACACATGACAGAAAATCAAAGGCTACTTTGTAAGCATATGAGAAATAAGAGCCAGGGGCTCAGAAGCAGTGTACAGATTGCATCTGTACTAAATGAATGGCTCACCAATTATTGTTTTTTATTTTTCATGAGTTCAATCTGAATTTATTTTTTGGAGGTAAAAGCAAATGTTGATATTGTATGAAATAATTACAATATTGTACTTACTTCACTTAACACTGCACATTGTATTTGTACTAAAATGTTGTCCTTACAAATGGATCCGACTCATCCATTAACTGTCAGAGACAAACATCTCAATGATGTAGAGCAGCGGGTAAAAAAAACAGCTGCAAATATGGATTTTAGTGTTTTGTGCCATTTGTACTTCAATATACTTATACTCAGAAATCAAATCGGCCTGAATCTGTGTGAAATTAATCCACAAAATAGATTATAAATATAAACAAATGTACATAGAGAGAGATGCTCTGTTGGCCAGAATGTATGTACTGTGATTATATTGTCACTGGCAGGTGAGTTAGGGCTTTACTGCCATTGGACAGGCTCCTGTTCTCCCAAACACACATCGACACGAGAGAATGGATAACAGCTGTGTGTATAAACAGATATTTTATCTATTGATTTCATGTTCTGTGGCTCTGGGGACGATGCTCAAAATACTGTACTACAGGGACCAGCATTGTGACGGTGACGTTAAGACTCCTAAATGATGGCATCTCTGTGACCCCGCTGTGACCTAAGCTTTTGTTCATTCAAAACCAGAAATGAAACCAACCCCTTTTGTTTTAGCTGTCTCATCTCAATAAGGAGCACAATCTCCATTTTAATATCTAACTGTTACTCTAATGTTATCTGTTAAGTGTCTAGTTGTTACCATGTTAGCTCTAAATGGCCAATCCCTCTCTGGTATGAGAGTAATAATAATAGCAATACACTTTATTTTTATTGCACTTTTTGTAAAACCAGTGCTTTTGGGGGTGCTATTAAAACAGGACATAATAGTAAAGAAAACTTCAATTTAGCGAGTAATAAGGGAAATAAATGAAAAAATGAAACAACATTTTAGCAAAATAATAAAACACTGCATAAAAGTAAGTGTGTAAAAGTGTCCTCGGAGATATGGTTCTATAGTTTATGACAGGGGGACAATAACTAAATCCTCAGAGTCTTTACCTGAATCCATTCTGTTCTCCCCGACTCAGGACCATAGCGATGGCTCTCCTGCAGGACTCCCTTATAGCAGCTGAGATGGCAGACGTCACAGGAAGCTGTGCCACGGCCGCCATGCTCAGAGTCCATCTTGAAGAGCCAGCGCTGCACGTCCATGTTTTCAGTCATGAGCCGAGCCAGCGTTTCATGAAGCTGTAACAAAGGAGAGACAAGTGATTACGAAATTGAATCATATGTACACTGAAAATACTGAAACGTCGACTTTAATTAGGGGGTATTATGTCAACACATTTCACATAACTGTATTAGGTTAGTTGAAAGCAATAATATTAAGTTGAACCTTATATATTTATTTTAAACTTGATATTATTACTTTCAACTAACCTAATGTGAAATCTGTTGACATACATTTAATTAAAGTCAATGTTTCCGTTTTTCTAGTGTATATTTAATACAGATAAAATGTGTTTGGTGTTACCAGGCACTAATAAAGGAACTCAGGCTGTATGGAGTCTTTGTATGCTTTGTGTTTTTGATCTCGGACCTGGTTCAGCGAGTAGATGTCCCCTTGACCTGGGGGTACATCAACCTCTGCCCCAGCGAAGATCCTCCTCCCTCCAGACTTGGTGCTGTAGAGTTCTGAAACAGCTGGTTCTGGAGCCAGGATGGGGACTCCTAGCTCATCAGCCACGGCCAGGTCATCAACATGGGCCACCCCACCCACAATGTAGGCCTGCTTCCCCTGGATCAGGTTCCTGATGCGCTTCAGAGTGCGCGGACTGTACTTTAGCAGCGTGGACAGGCACATGTTGTGGGTCTAGGAGAGAAGAGCGTAAAAAAAGTGTCTTTTAAGGGTTGTTTCTTGACCTGATTTATCACTGTGTACACACAACAGATCTATTATTGTGATAGCCAGCAGGGTTTTAACCTCTCCTGTATTCCAGCAGGTTGAATTGATAAAAGCTCCCTGTGGGAGGCCTCCCCTATCCTTCACGTCTTTAATGTGTGCTAGCAATGAGCTCCTTGGGAATATAACTAATTACTTCACATCTGTATTTATTTGATCCACATGGAATTATCCCTTCTGTCACTGGCAGAATGCGCTGCCAGCCATGGGTAGCAGTGATTCATCTCAGCAACACGTCTGGCACAGTCTAACAACAAAACAGCAGGAAAATCAATAGAAAGGAATGAAGAGGACCGTGTTGTGTCGCACATTCAATCTGTGCAAAAGGATATCAAAAGATGGATAGAGTGCTTGCATGTAAAAAAACAATATAACAACACCTTCATTTTATTGTATTGAGGTAATCAAATTCAGATTTTTCAAGATTAAAGCAGTCAGAATAAACAGTTAATATAACGTTTAAGTATTAACCAGCTGGAAACCATTATATTCATTTGAATAAAGTATAACCTTGTGTGTTTACTTCAATATAACACAAATGTTTAATTTTAAAATATGTAAAAGGGACTTAAAAGGAATATTAAACACACAGTGGCAAACAATCTCCTCTAGTACCCTCTAGAGGTGAATTTGCAAACTACAGAATCTTGTAGCATCCACAGTACAATATTATCCATTTTCTACAGTTCATTTTGAGATCCTGCTGAAAAACAAAATGCAAGGCTGTGAGGTTTTTTTATCTTCTATGTTTATCTTTGTGGACAAAATGTGGATCTAATTGAGTTTACCGGGAAATACTCCACAGCCTCAGGTGTGAGGATGATGAAGCGCCTGATGGAGAGGGATGAGGCCTGCGCGCTGCCGGTATCTTCCTCGTTTGTTGCTTCATCACATTTCAGGAGGCTGGCGTAATAGTCCAGAATATCCTCCCCCAAATGTCTCGGACAGACGTAGATCACCTCCACATTTTCATCTTAGAATATCCAAAGAAAATTATGTTGGCATTAAAAGCATACAGATGTTAATGTGTGTATATGTTGATGAGAAGGTGAACACCTACCTCTAATATCACACAGTCGGCCTATTTGGACGTTCTGCAGGATGTCCAATCCCCTCAAATGTCTTCGTTGGCGCTGAGGGTATCCTGTCAGCATGAGGTCACAAAAGTAAGACTTTCAGAGGGATTTATATCAGCTCTACCTGGCCTTATTAAAAAGCTGGAGCTATGTGAAGCTGCCCAGATGTGTGTGAGTCTACACTTGGGGTGGTATAGATACGTCTAGGGGCAGTGTGTGTCATGTGCTGGGCGTCCTGTTGCAACATGTCCAGCCCCTGAGCTACTTCCAGTGGTGCCTCCAGGATCTGTCTGTCTGGATTTCTGCCTGAGAGAGAATCCTCAACTGAATCAAGGTAATTAAATGATTGGATTCATGCTAATTAACAACAATGGGGTTCAACTTTCTAATTATCCTTGCTCACACAGCACTCTCTGTAGCCACCCCAAGTGCAAATAAAGCGTTCCATCTGCTAGTAATTAGGCTTAATAATTTTAGACAATCGCTTAATGATTTATAATGCACATGCCTGATTACAGTCTAAATGTGAGTGCCATGGTGAAATTAGAACAAGAACGGATCATAGCGTGCACTCTGTGTCTGGTGGAAAAACACAGCAGCGTCTTGCTCTTTTGGGTTTGTGTTTTTTTGCAGAGCAATAAAACAAGACCTTTGTGCCTCTTGCAAATATTCAACATAATGGCTTTTCATTTGCTTAATCTGCAAATTAAATGGCGATTGAAACTAAATTGTTCAGTTCCCTGGCACGGGGACTGTCATCATCCTGTGAGTGCCTTCCTGCAGAGAGTCATTTGAACGAGACAGAGTGCCTCCACCAGGCCACAGACTGGGGCAGCAGACTGGTGAGACGGGGTGTCTGCTGCTAGATGTGTGTGTGTGTGTGTGTGTGTGTGTGTGTGTGTGTGTGTGTGTGTGTGTGTGTGTGTGTGTGTGGTGTGTGTGTGTGTGTGTGTGTGTGTGTGTGTGTGTGTGTGTGTGTGTGTGTGTGTGTGTGTGTGTGTGTGTGTGTGTGTGTGTGTGTGTGTGTGTGTGTGTGTGTGTGTGTGTGTGTGTGTGTGTGTGCAGCAGGCAGAGAAAGCTACCTAATGAAGGGATGTGGATAATGGTCCTTTTGGAGGACTGGATACGTTTCCAGTCGGCTGCCAGATGCTGGGGACGGAGAGAAGGAGTGATCAGAGAGGGGACTGCATGAACGCATACACACACACACACACACACCCCACACACACAAATCATCACTGCATAGCTAAAAGACATCAAGCCAATCTCTCTCTGGGCTAACAGAAGCAAACCAAGCATAAAATACCACCTTAATTAAATTAAGCGTTTACTTTAGAAACATCTTCTCGCAATTAATTCAATCATCAAGGTACATGATGCGACTGCCAGGGGAAGATTAGCAGGCTTAATTAACGGGGTATGAATGTTTGAAGAGTGAGAACATACATTTAGTGCATGTATACACACACAGCCGTGTAAAAACTAAATGAACTTGTAGGCACTAATTAATGTTGTGTCAGCGCTCTTAAAGATGTTCTACCCAGATGACAGCACAGACATGACTTCTACGCTGAATGGGAAAAATGAACAGAACATTATAAATATAAGAAAAGGGTGCCGTCATACCGCTCTCATGAAGAATAATAAATACAAGCACATTTGTATTTATTGAGCTTTGCAATGTTCTGCTATGGCTGAAATAATATTTGTAAATTGAGGTAAATCCCTCATCTCAGCATAACAAGGCATATATCCCCAGAAAGGGGTTTCTACATTTGTAATTGCATTATATTAAATCAGTTTATAAATACCTCATTAAAGCCAATAGCTCCATGTGTCCAACTCAACTAAATAGCTTTACCTAATGCCACTGCAATCACAATCATTTAAGCAGCAAAACTCAAATGTTCCCTTTATAGTCTGATTTATTTTTTATCAAAAACACAAAACATTGAACTATTTGAAACATCTTTAATACTTATAGCATGTCATTATTGATTATTGATTGATGTAATTGACCTTCGAAATGTAGGTAAGGCAGGGCAAGTTTATTTCTATAGCACCTTTCAACACAATGCAATTCAAAGTGCTTGAAAGACATTTAGAGCATTAAGAAATAGTGCAGCGGAAACACATTATAAAATGGCATTTATAAACAGTCATTAAAAAGCAAAGAGAATTAAATATAAAACATGAATAGGTTCCTTTTTTGCTCTTGTTTTAAAAAACAAAACAATAAACCTGTCAAACTTTTATAATTAATTTCTAAAACACACAAGCATAATGTATTATGTAGATGATTTAATTTGAATAATAATTGATAGTATATCAGGTGGAACCATATATCCACAGTTTGGATTTAGATGTGTTTTATTTTAAAAGTCATAAATAAAAGTCTGACTGCGATTTTTAAAAATAATGGGATAAAAAAAAAAAAAGACAGCTTTGAAAAGGTGAGCAATATTAAGTAAGACAGAGGAGGATAGAGATAGAATGAACATGTTGTGTAAAAGCACCATCACCTGGGCTCTGCTGCGGTGGTTCTCCAGTTGTCTGACACGCCGAGCCTGCAGGGCCTTCCTGACTCGGATCTTCTGAGAGTACATCAGCCATGAGACAGCGATGATGCCCTCCGCCCACTTGTTCCTGCAGTGGCTCAGGTAGGCAGTCCGGGCTAAGTAGCGCCTCCAGCAGGACTGGATGTGGATGGCAGCCGCCTCCATGCCCCCCTCTCCTTTGTAACGCCGACCTGGGCGTAAGACCAGTTCTGATACCTCCTCCCAGTTTCCAAGCACAGAGAGGAGGCCGCTGACTGGAGGAGCCTTTCTCCAACCGGTACCCAAGCTGTGGCTGAACTCCACCAGACACTCCCCGCTCACTTTGGCTAGCGGAACGGCAAAGTCCCTGAGCAGCTTTTTCAGGGCCTCCAGAGCATCCAGCACACTGCTCCAACACAAGCTGAAGCTCTGCTTAAAGTGACAGAAATCTGCTGCCAACGGGTTGATCTGACCCTTTATAATGGTAAAGGGGTATTTGCTGATGTTTACGTCCACAGGTGAATTCTACAGAGCACAGGGAAACACGGGACAGGACACCAACTCACACTTTAAATCAATTGAATTATTGTCTTTGATTGCCTTTTATATTTTTGATTTAGTTTAAAATCCATTCAAAACTAAAGTATTTTTACCTGAGGGCTTTTAGGGATAAGATCGTTGGTGCCTTGCATTATACCCTTGTGGTCCTCACTTGTGGAGGCGGAGGGAGGAGGTGTCTTGGTGGTACAGAGGGGTGTGCACTCACTTCCTTTACAGGTGGATCGAGGATCTTTTTCCCATTTGAGTTGCTTGTTACTCCTGGACCTCGAGCCTATTAGACATAACGTCAGAAACAGACAGGTTCAACTGTACTCTATCAGTGGCAAAATGTTATCAATGTTGAATCAATCAGAACCTTTACAAGAACAGCGCCATTAAGGGTTTTAACTAAACAATACTATCAAAAACAATTATAGAACTAGCAGGAGTGCAAAACAGAAGATAAAAGGCATAATTGCATAAAAGGCCTCACTAAATATTGAACTGCCAGTGACAGGACTTTATTAGGGTCAATATGTCCGAGGAAAACCGACCTGTCTTAGAAGAATATGAATCCTCTCTGGGGTGAAGAGAGGCAGCCTTGGGATGGATCGACGCATGAAGAAAACTTGTATCTGATGAAAAAATGAATTAAAAAAACGACTCTCAGAATATTGCACTTAGGTAAGAGTAAAAAACCACAGCACAATAATGCTGGAAACAAGTTAATATAAGAACATGTAATTGTTTTTGATGTAACAATATAAATAATGGTGAGCATTTTGCCATATTATATCAGGATATGGCCTGCTTAAAATGCCCCATACACAAACTCACAGGCACGCCCAATGAAGTGAGTGTCAGTTCTTACACTCAAACAGAGGTGAGGTGTTGGTAATAAGGCGCTGAAATGTCTGCTTACCTGTCCCCATGTCTTCTTCAGGTGTTGCCAGGCTACGACGGCCCTTTGGTTCAATGGCTGGAAGAGTCACCACAGAGCGAGTGGGGACTCTCTGATGCTTTCCCTAACAGAACATTCACATAGGATCATCAGAGGATGTACATGTGACATAAATAACATTGAGGCTCCTGCTCCAGTATTTCTTTGTTTGGCCCTGTTTGAATTAAACACCCTTCTTCAGCAGCTGGAGTTTCTTCTTATAAGTGACATTGTTGTAAGTACCGGATCTAACCAACCCCTCAGCCATCAGTCTAATCCCAGCTTGTTGATGTAAGATTTAACTAGTTTTCTAGCAAACAAGTGCTAAGAAGCCTGAGATATAATAGCTTGCATCTTACAAACAATATGTTTCCTGTATTCATTAAGATTTGGAGTGAGCCATAAAACTGACAATGCCAAGATCAAAACTGTCCTGCAACATATTCTACAAATATTTTGATACAAAAAGTGAATCTATTGCCCTTGTTTAATATAAACATGCTCAGAAAACACAAAGTTTGTGCTGCTGATCCTCCAGACTTATCCCTGAATGTCATCTTCTTGTTCTTTTCAGACCACTGAGCTCTATGACAGACCTCAGGTAGCAGCCAGGTGCTGGGAGCATCTCCCCTCACAGGCACACATCTGTTTCAGATGGGTTTGGGAAAAGGTGGCACCTTTTTCTAAAATTGCTAAAATGCAAAAGCTCATTTCCTGGCAAGAGCATGGTGAGGAAGAGCTGGCCTGAGTTGCAGGAGAAGGCAGCAGGCAGAGAGCCAGTGGTTAGCAGTTGGGGAAGCTACGGCTGTCTTATTGGCATGCTGGACCAGGTACCCACTTCTGTCCTGAGACAGCTGTAAACCAGCAGCCCATAGCACAGCAATCAGGCGCCTGCTTCTTTAGAAGAATGCTGATGTGCTGCAATCTGCTGCCTTCCGCTCTCTGCAGCCAGCACTTCCATCGCTCCTATATCAGAATGACAGTCTTGGCTGCTATTTCTCATGTCATGTGTAGATTACCAAAAACATATTGGAAAAGATGTGTGTAAAATATATCTAAAACTAATGTCGACCTTTGAAAAGATAAATTGATTTGCCATGACAAGACTGGCTGTCATCACTGAGCCAAGTGACCTTTGTGTCACTGTGTCTCTGAGCACTTGAAGCATCCATTAATACAGACATGTACCATCACTCTTCACTCCAGCATAAAGTGTATTTTCAGGGGTTTAAGAGAGTAAGCATCAGGGAAAGGAGCAATGATACTCAATTAATCTTTGTTGCAGCAGAAACTCTTGTAATGCTTCCTAATCAAATCTTTCCTGAGGCATGTGCTGTATGTTACAATTAATATCAACAAAGACTCAAGACATAGGAATCAATTTCTCATTGTACAAAGCAAATAAATGGAGGGCAAATTATTATTCTGATGTTGTTTGTAAAAATATACTCCACGATTCCAGATGTAGCCTCATTTCTGCGACTAATAAAAAACCGTAAGTTCTCCTGGGTGTTCAGTTTTACAAAGCCAGAGTTGAATTAACTGTCACTCACTCCATGATTGTTATGTAAACTTCTCCATCTTACAACAACTTGCAGGAAATAATTATGGGAGAACATAAATCAACCATCACCTTGATTCCATAGAGTCTGAAAGGCCCCAGGGTGAGTCAAGTAGCATTTTTAAGTTCACAGTGTTTACTTTAAAGCTGGTCGGATAACACATAACATCACATGATATACTAACATACAGTTAAATGAATATACATTTATCGTAGATTTAAGATTACTTACTGCATTTATACTCCTCTTGTTGACATCAGGTAGTGATATCCCAAATTTCTGATGCAAAATGGCTCTGTTGTGGGGGTGAGCAGGATTACACAGCAAACGCATGGTTAATGCTGACTTGTGCTGAAAAAAGTGCTGAATAGGACAGAGAGAGGAAAGGTTTTAAAACTTTAGTTAGCAATATCAAAGATTGAAATGAATGTAAAGTTCTGCTAAACATAAAGTATTCATGTGTTCATGTGCTGCTCTATCACACCATGTCTCTTTGTCTCACCTGTCTTAATGTATAGTACAAGGATATTGTTTAATGTCTAACTAACCAACCCTACAGTATATATTGTAACTTGCAACACTATACTAAGTTAAAAACAAAAATATTAAGGAACAATAATAATAATAACCTACCTTTTCCCCAGGTGAAGGCCCCGGAAGCTCTTCTCTTTGTGGACGCACATCTGGGACACTCTCCAGAGCAGGTATCCTGTGCAATTTCACAATTATAATACCCATCAATACCCACAAGAATGTATTAATTATCAATGGCATGATAAAGGAAAGTGCTGCCACTCGAGACAATTATTAAGGAACAACACATGTACGCTTCTCTTTACCTACCATTTTGGAATCTGCTTGTTTTTTTCCAAGTCTTCAATTCTTGGAAGAACCGACACCTGCTTAGTCACTGTTTTCAGATGATCCTCTGCATGCTTCTATTCACAATAAAATAACACAGAAGCTGTCTGTCTGTAACTAAGCTCCCTTTGTCTGATATATGTTTTAATATCATTTTAATCAGCACTTATTTAGCATTTAACATACTTACCCTGATTATACTTTCTGTTTTTCCAATGGCAGCATCCAAGGCTTGAATGTCCAGAGTGTTTCCCCTCTCATTGGTGGTGATTTTTTCAAGACTACATTTGAGTTTTCTCAAATCCTCTTGAACCTGTAACATACACATTTCAGTGATCAAATACTGTTAACTTGACTTGTAGCTTGTTTTTGCATGTTGTTAGTTTAGCTAAATGTCAGGAGGTTTAAAAAGGAAGAGCAACGTCAACGTTTATGAACATTTAGTTAGGCCTACTGTCTGGCATGTGTTCAAAAGCAATCTTCTTAACTTGAGCAACCCACGATAACTAGCTAACAGTTACCTTAAGTCAGAAGTGTACCGACGTACCGACCTTAGTGTTAACGTTAGCTAGTAGGCTAAGGTAGACAACATTACCTGAAACAAAACGGCTCCCAATTTATCTTCGTCATTTAGGGTGTCAGACATGTTCTTGTAATGAGATAATACAAACAATAATATGACTCAAACACGTGTCAGTGTCACGATATCATGATAAAGACCTATAACAAAACATCAACTAATGTAACCAAATCAGATAGCTATAGCAACTCGTCAATGAAAAGTCTTCAAACAGTACTCGTTACCATGACAACAAGTGGTGTGTATTTTCCCCGAGTACGAACTGCCAGACCAAACACGGGATAACTTTCGTCTTAAACATGCAGATAAGCAATGTCATTATGGCCGTTCTTTAGTATAATTTAACCTGTATTCATAATTTATTGGTGGGGCTTAATAGGGAAGGTGCTTTGCCTGAGAGGCAAATTCAGGGCGTTAAAAGCTGTGTCATTCAGCACATTGTTTTCTTCTTTATTCAAGATATTAATTATGTTATATATTGTACATATATTATATGTACATTATTAAAATCTTATATCAAACATTATATACACACAAAACATTGACTTCAGGGGTACATAGGTAAATATACAGACTAAAACATATTTTTGGTTTTGTTTGCCTTCTTATTTTTAATATGTTTAATAGTGGTGCAATACTGTTGTAATTTTAAGTAGAAAATGTAAGATGTGCAACACTTGGTTCATAGTCAGTCCATTTCTTCTTGAATGTGACATTTTCCCGAAAATAAAACGAGTTGAATAAGAGTGTCATTCAGTACAAGAAGTGCCAATGTTGCCCTTAACACAAAATCAATATTTAGTTTCCTCATCACGAGATAAAATTACCCAATGGAAAAACATTTCATTGTATCAAAAGCTATGGTAAAAAAAAAAAGATAACTTGTTTTTTCTTTGCACCGGAAGTGACCGTCACTGCGGCTCAGTCAGAGTTGAAAGGTTACCAACGTCAGGCAAAGCTAGCAGCTGAAGACAATTGTCCTAAATAGTGCAAAAATGTCAGATTCAGAAGAAGAAACGGAGATTACTATTCCATGTGTGCTCATCACTAGCTGTGACAGTGGCTTTAAAGAAGTGGAGCTGATAAAACGTAAGTTTAGCTCATCTCAATGTGCATGATTTAGCAAACAGGCTAACGTTAAACAAAGCTAACATACTCTTAGCATAATACATGACATTCTGGATGTTGCTAATGCAGGTTAATAACCACATGTCTGAGGTTGTCAAGCTAGTTAGGGATTTATTTGTTGTTGATGTGATACACAAATAGGAGCTGAAGGAGGTTGCATTCATCTTTCTTAGCGTCTAGACAAAATGAAACCAGGTTAATCTAATCTAATGTCTCTATTTGTGTCTCATTTATTACATCCTCAGAGATCATTACTCCGGATACTTTGCCAGAGCCGATCAAGCAAGAAGAAACAGTAGCCTGGTATCCATGGATCATCAACAACAAATATTATACAGCGGATGTCAGGCTATGTGTTGTGCCAAGCCCCTTTCAAATGTCATCGGAGATTGCACAGTCCATGCAGGCTTTCATCGCTTATTTCGACAGTACAGTGGTACGTGAGTAATACTTTAATCATCTCAACAGTATATCCTGTGATACATGTGTAATGATTATTATGTGTGCATGGTGTTTACAGAAGGATGGTCTAGAAAAACTACATACTTGGATATCAGTGGTGGAAGATCTTGCTCCAGAGGTGCTCATCCTGGTGTGTGGCAGAGTCTGTGAAACAGGTTAGTACTCCAGCTGTTGATGGCACTGTTATGATTAATTTTAGCCTCCAGAAAGCAATCTAATACAATTTTTCAGTCAACTACATGCTTTTGAAATGCCATTTCTATTCAAGGGGTCACCAGACATGAAGCGCAGCAGTGGTGTTTGGCTCATGCCTTTGAGCTGGTGGAGCTCAATCCTCAGGAGTTGCCAGATGAGGATGGTGAGTTTTAAAGAAAGCAGGAATTCCAATGAAATTGCATACACTTGTATAACCTTTCTTCACATTTTGAATAATTGTATTGTACTCATACACATGGTCTTTGCTGTCTGATCAGATGACTTTCCAGAATCCACTGGAGTAAAGAGAATTGTTCAGGCTCTCAATGCCAATGTGTGGTCTAGTGTGGAGATGAAGGATGGTGAGATGACAACAACATTACAATATCATATTCCATGTTCCCCAGACTATTTAATATAACTCAGTGTGTGTATCGTATCGGGTCATCTCTATTGGATAGGGCACAACCAGGGCTTTGGTTTGATGAGTAGTTTGGTGGCTGCCAGACACAACAACCCACGCAGCTGTCAAGAACCACAGGTCAGTTGTTGTTTCCCTATTCAATTCAATTCAATTGATCTTAATTTCACTTATATTTGTTATTATCTTTCAATGTATTCTTACACATTTTTGTGTTTCATCAATCCATTTTCACTTAAATGTAATGTTTACGCCGTGTTTGATAAGGCATGCTAACCCTAGCTCGTTTTCTATAGCAGTCTTCCAGCTTGCCAGTAGAGGGCTCAGTTGTTAGTGAAGAACCCAACCAGACAGAAAGTACTTCCAACACAGAAACGCAGGTGGAAACAGTAGTTGGTAAGTTAACTCCTCATACAATCTTTTTTCCCATACATTTAAACTCCTGCTGGCATATTTTTCTCTGCTGTGTTCACCCAAAACATCAGTATTTGACTGATTAAAAGTTGTATTAAATGTTAAGTTAATATTCTCTTTTGGTGATTCTCTCAGATGCAATGACTGATTTGGACATCCAGGAACTTGCCAATCTAACAGCTGGAGATGTAGATATGGATAACTTTGAACGTCTCTTTTCCAAATTAAAAGAGATGAAAGGTAATTGGGGAACGAAAAGGGCACTTTTCTCAGCCAAAATGATGTTAGCCATTCAAAAAACGTACAGGATGTTTGTACCCTGCTTCCATTGTTGGTGTGAATGTCCAAAATGTCTACAGCTGACGCCGTTCATGCTGTTTTTGTTTTCTCTCATTTCGAACTTGCAGACAAAGCTTCCTCATTACCCCATGAGCAGAGGAAGGTGCATGCAGAGAAGGTAAGTCACTGTATTAATATAACAAGACACAAAGACTAGCACCTGTTCATGTTCTTAATCTGTGTATCCTGGATGTATAAAGTATTTATCATCTCCCATGATATTGTTCAAACAGTGAATCACAAAAAAATAGTGTCTTCACAACTTCCGACCCTTGTCAGATTAGATGAAATATTAAACATTTCAGTAGCTATGTTTTAGTTAGATCTCTTGTTTGACTTAATACATTGTGTAGCTCAACATGTTTATGTAAACTTTATTACAGTACTTACACTAAATCTTCTTTCCAGGTAGCAAAAGCGTTTTGGACGGCCATCGGTGGTGATGATGATGAGATAGACGGGTTATCATCGGGAGAGGAAAGCTAAAAGCAGCATCCTGTGTCTCTTTTCTCCTGGTCCCCCTCCTTTCATGGGGCTCCAACAAGACCCAGCACCCTTTGACTTGCTTCTTGCACCAGGAAGGTGGAGATGCTTACAGACTATACAGAAGGCATAGTCATGTTTAGAAACGTGTGATTCTTAAAAAGAAATGATTGCAATACTGGTGTGTAATGAAAAGCAGTTGAATATTTTGATAAGGGAAAGAAGTGATCCAAGCCCTGGGTCCATCTCTATACTATGCTATAAGGTCAGAATGGACATCAGCACATGTTGGTGTCGCAGTGGGAAAATCATTTAAAAAATAATGATGTGGTCTTTGATTTTATGTGTATGTTACTTGGGTACTGTTGTCACATATATTTGCAAGTGACATAATGTGCCTTATCCCTAGAGTTGTAAGACATTTAATGCACATTCTGTTGAATCAACATAAACATTTGTGATTTTAATTTTGTTCTCCTTTCTGACTGTGGCACATTTATTGTAAGCAGAAGACTGTTTCACTTTTTGGGTACACACAGCTCACCTCATCCTTACTCATTCACAGATCAGAAAAAAACCTCTTTCAGCACCGAAACTGGACAATATTCAATGACTGTGCTGTATTGGTCATTGTAGATAGTAAGTAAAAGTGTTGAGCATTGACTTGGAATCTTTTTACTCAATTGCAATTTATTTAATTATTTTCACAGTTAACAAAACAATGGTCATTTGAGAACAAATAGCATACATGAAAAAACATGTACATAAGACTTGGAACAAAAACCACCAACTAAGAATATCAAGGAACAAAAGTACTGATACAGATCTACCAACTACCCAATGCACTGTAGATTACAGTATTTGCGTTTACCACCGTGTAACAATCTAAAATAGATGACATGGTGACTCAGTCTTGTGTACCGTAAGTAAGTGCAGGGTAAACATGGTGGCTTCAGAGACAATGACCAAGGAAATCGAGCATATTACACATGCCTAATATTGTAGCAATGTACATGTAATATAGAGTATTCACTGGACAAGCAAATTACCACGAGAACTTAAGCTGTACACTGATCAACACAGTGAATTGGAAGTGCGTTATTTACCAACAATGAGCATCGTGTACTACTGGCTAACAGTTGGTAATATGTGAAGAAATCTGCAATAATGTTTTTACTCTACATGCCATCTATGGATAAACCACAGCCATGTTGCTGCTGGTGAGCACCCCTCACACTGAGGTCACACGATCTAAATTCAACCAGTTCACTATGATCACTCAAACTGTAAGTCATAGTCTATGTCCACAATATGAATATCAGTAATAGCTGGTAAAGTAATCCTACGTGTCACACTTAAGATCCAGTTGACCCAGGTTTGAAAAAGCCTGCATTCAAGCAGGCCAGGGTTTGGGTCACTAAAGCAAAGTGTTTATGTGAATCTACTCATGCCAGAGGTCAATCAGGTCCACTGTTTCAAGCACTGCACAACTACAAGAAATCACAAGCTATAAATATTTATGTACAATTATATCGAGGCATTAAAAAATATATATTTCCATGCAGGACAGTATGCAAAAATAACTTATAAAATGTCTCTTTCATTGAGCAAAATAGTTTTCATA